AGGTGAACTACCTTGGATGAGGTAAACACCCTCGGATGAACTCAACTACTTGAGCTCATCCTCATGATAGCCCATTCCAAGGTGAACTACCCTTGGATGAGGTAGACAACCTCAGATGAACTCAACTACTTGAGCTCATCCTTATGACAACTGAGCTCAAGTCTAGTTGAATAGTTAAAATGAGGAAAACCTTGAAATATTTCAATATAATAGCCAACGTGATCCATGAAGTTAGGTGAGACATTCAAGGATGTCACCTAATAAAATTTCTAAAACACCCAATGAAGAATATATATATTATGAACTTTTATATAGCGTGGAGGCCCTATGGGTTGTAGTCTATTAGAACAAGCATACAATAAACTAAAAAGAAATCTAAAACACTGGCACTTAGCCTCCTAAAGCCATGTTAATCATTTTGAATCTACTCTAGAGATCTCGGCTTGTAGCTAGTTGGTTTACTTCACCAACTTTTCAAGTCAGCAAGCTTGCAGCCAGCTTGCCATTTCACAAGCCATCCTGTTCCACCTCTCATGCGCCATTCATTAATAAGATATGCTAAGCCCCTATTTATTGAATATATTGAATATAATATATTCTTCATGTTTTAACTAAAAATGAGTGGCTTAAATGACATTTATTTATACATTTGTGGAGCCTCCTACAAATGGTGGAATAATTTACAAGCTAATGGTATCCACGACCTAGTGGTCTTTATTATTAGTTCTAACTCAAAGAGATAAATCTCTCTTTAAGAGGGGGAGTGGGAATACATAAACATAAACTTCTATACTTTACTTGGCATGCATTTAATTTGCTGCTTGAATAACTCAACCTGAGTATATTTTAAATATTCATATCTTATTATTGTTTATTTTGATCACTTATGCCACAGACATTTATATTTAATTCTAAATTATTGTGCCACTTTAATGTTGATGCATCTCATGTATTATTGATTATTGATGAACTAATGGTATCTTGTCAAGTTCTATGTTTAGAATGAATTCTTACAAGTCTCATGAGTTTGTTAACTCCTTGGCTTGGAAGACTCAAAAATACGTTATCAGCTTTTAAACTTATTAGTTCATCAGAAAATACTATTGGCCCTTGAGCCCATTAGCTATTGGCTTTTTTAGCTCATTCAATCTACAAGAGCTTGCATCCATCAACTATCAGCTTCTCAGCTCATTTGTTCTATGAAAGCTCAGTTCAATCTTAACTCTACAAAGCACAACCCTCAAAGGGGTTTGATTTTATGCTATGACTCGAGAGACTAACATTTTCTTATGGGCATCTCAAGGTGGGATTCTGTGGTAGGCATCTCCAGCTACCAAAATTGGCATTCAATCAACTCTACAAAAACTGGTTTTGATCCTAGCTCTATAAAGCATGACTCTCAAAAGCCTGACTTCCATTATTATGGCTCATGAGATTGCAAATCGTCACTTTCGAGTCGTCACTTTCGAGTCGTCATTTTCAAGTCATCATTCTCAGCTACATCCATAACACATGACTATGGGTCATGCATCTTTACTTCAGCTACGGCCATAGTGACCCCAAGTCACACATTTTATTTCAGCTCCAACCACATGACTTCAATCATTACTTTTATTTCGGCTCCGGCCCTTATGACTCCAGTCATTGCTTATTACCTTGGCTCCGACCACATGACTCCGGTCATTACTTATTATTTCGGCTCCTGCCGCTATGACTCCGGTCATCATTATTTACCTCGGCTCTAGCCATAGTGACTATGCGTCACCTATTTTACTTCGGCTCCTGCCATAGTGACTATGTGTCACCTATTTTACTTCGGCTTTAGCCATAGTGGCCACACGTCACCTATATTACTTCGGCTTTAGCCACAATGATTGAGTCATCAATTTTACTTCGACTAAGGCCATAACCATGTCATGCAATTTTACTTTAGCTACGGCTATAACACATGACTCCGTGTCATGCATTTTTTCCTTGGCTACGACCCAAAACACATGACTCTATGTCATGCATTTTTACCTTGACTACAGCCAAAAACACGGCTTCATGTCATACATTTTTATATTGACTACCCCCGTCTACACTCATCTTCCACACTAATCATTCACAAGTGAATGACTTCGAGGGGGGAATAATGTAAGGATAGGTCCAAGGTTAAGGACCTCGGACGTACTGCTATAATTCCTTAATAACCGAAGTGAAGCACTTCCTAGTCAAACAGCCGCATGACAGTTACAGTAAGCATGCCCACACTAGAATTTCTCTTAATTTCCCGATCCCGAATTTGTCTCCTTAAGGAACACGTCACACTCCGATTATCCTGCTAAGCAAGCCACGTGGATACCTCACAAATGCCTATAAATACCCCCAGGGGCCACCTCAGAAAGGTAATTGAAACCAACCTTAAGCTCCTTTTATCTCCACTCTAAAGGTAGCCCTGATTATTGCTGACTTAAGCATTGGAGTGTCTACCCCGAGAACCCACCTCGGGGCTTTGCAGGTACATCCGAAGTGAAGATGTGGACTGAAGAAGGACTTCTGATTTAGTGCAATTACAGAAATGGAGGATGAAAGTAGAAAAAAGTAAGAACAAGTTTATGGTTATTACCTAGTTTTTTGTGAATAAGTGGAAACAATATTTTCATGGCTAAACATAGGGACAGCAAATGCATTTACAGGCTTCCCACTAGTAAACGATATTGTGCTGGACTTATAGATGACTTTATTCTACAGTATCATGTTCAATTTTATTCCCATTCCCATACAACAATTACTCACTGAAGCAAATATAATCCTGAGAATAATTTCTTTTTCCACGTACATAAACATGAACACAATACTCAAGTAATCAACTTTTACACATCCTTTCATTCCCCAATTCACATGATATTAATATGTAATGATGGTTTTTCCAATTCATGAGTATTTGTTTTTACGTGTTGCAGGAAGCAATTTCAGTACGTTGAACAGCACTTCCAAGAAAAGTGTCAAAGCTATATTTTGCCATGAGAGGTGTGTTAAATATCACAATTATGGTCTTTTAAGTAATTAATATGTGGAAAGAAGGTGAAATAAGTGATTTTAGCTTGTGGATTAGGGGCGCTGAGATTCTGATTGCCTCCCTTGGTGCATCTTTTTTTAACTGGCCAAGTCCTGGGTGCATCTAGATTGCTCTTTTCTGCAACTGCAGATGTACCTTATGCCAAATTTCTATTTCGGGTTGGAAAGTAGTTTATTTTCGCTTCACATATTCCCTCCCACCTCTGATGATGTGATTTTAGTTTTTTTTCTTATTCTATTTAAACTTCTACTGAAGATTCGCCTTTTTACTTGGTGAGAGCTAGTGGATTATTGATCTTTTTACGGTAATAGAGCATTTTGAAGAAGCTGAAGGTCACAATCCTGGAGATATCTCAATTACTGATCTTCATGGCCTTCTAAATCTGAAAAAGGAAATTTGTGAGGCAAATGTATGGTACTTGAGAATATATTTGCATTGTAGGATAGTGATCTTTTTTCTTCTTATTGGTGCTACACCGATTGCATATTTTCGAATTGCAGTCGTTAAAGGAATCTCATGTTCCTAATGCACTCGTAGAAAGATTGGTAAAGTATAAATGGAAGTTCCCTCCAGTTTGTGACATCATCGGAGGGTTCCTTGGACCGGTGGTCATTTCTGTCTATTTTTATGTTGTGCGTCTTCAATTGAAGATTTTCTTTATTCAATTTGATTTAGAGTATATTTGGTGAAACTTGTAAGATTTTTTTTTTTTTTTATTGTTTATCAATGATAAGTTTAAATTTTGATTGAATGAAAAATTTAAAAATTGTTTTTAGAAATAGAAAAAAATGAGTAAGAAATGAGTAAAAAAAAAGTTTATAAAAAGTATAAATTTGAAGTTATTCAAAATTTACTGTTTAAAGTTTTTAAGATTAAAAAAAATTAAAAAATATAAGTTTTTAAAAGAAAAATTTTAACTTATAAAATATGAATAATGTCAAAAAACTAAAACTCTTACAAATTTTACCAAACATGCCCTTAGTAGACTACTGTACTGTCCAGGGGGTGATCAAAGCAATATCAGGCGAAGGGGATGTGCTAAAGAATTTTTTTTCCTTTGATGCCCTGGAAGGAAAAGGCTTGATAGAGGACATATCAAATGCTAACACCAACAACTGAGTATCTTTGTCTTGCCGTTACCAAATTGCTTTGTTGGAAACAACACTTGCTGATGTAGTTTTATAGAATTGACCAACCATCATCAGTTGAATTATTAATTTTGTGTTGTCACTGGCCTGAAACAAAAATGTTGTCAATTAATCTTAGAAATTGTGTTTGAAGAATAAGTTGAATATATAACTTTCTAGGGGTATTTGCGATGTGGATTGATTCGAATTTTAATATTTTTTAAATTAATCCAATTTAATCGGTTAATAAAATTTTTAAACTAATTCAAACCATTAGTTTGTGATAATCAAATCAATCCAATTTAAATCGGATCAGTGTGGTTCAATCGGATTGATTGATTTTTAACACTATTAAATATATGAGATAATATAAAAATTTTTAATATAAAATAGAAAGTATAACTATAAAATAAATTAACATCCAAATCACTTGAAACATAAAAAAATACACAAATTATAAACAAGTTCTTATATTCATTTACAATTGTAAAGATTGAAAAGATCGAAAAAAGAATCGAAAAGTCCTTTTTGGTCCTATCACCAGAGGCACTGAGGATGATAAAAGATGATTTTAAATTTTAAATATAGTGCAAGTAATTTTTAAAAGTTAAAACTAGTTTTCCTTTCTCTTAATACACCAAATGATTCAATCTCATCTTTTAAATCCTGTTAAAAACAAATAAAATTTAACATGAATATCATTAGGAAAGATTAGAAGCATTCATAATTAAAATTTAAAACTACTTAACCAAACATCCAAGAATAGTAGAATATTAAAATTAGTTCTATTATATAGTTTTAAGATTTTTAGAATAATATTTCTTAAAATTTAGTTAGGAGAATTATAATATTATGTTAAGAACAACTTAAAAATTTAGGGTTCTACAAGTAGAGTCGTAAATCAGTTTTAATACATAGAGTTGCAAATGAATTGAAAATTTAGAATTAATATTAAAGAGCATACTTTAGAAAGCAAAATAAATTAGAGTATATGAGAATATTTTATTTTTTTAAATTAAGTTAATAGAATTATCATATTGTAAAACAAGAAAAAAATTTAAAATATTATAAAAAAATATACTATATTATTTAATTAAGTTATTTTATAATCATATTTTATTTTGTAATCGAGCGGTTCAAGAAATTTGAAGATAAAATAACGAACCAAATCAAATTAATTATATCGGTTTTAAAATTTTATAATCCAAACCAACACAATTTATATCGATTTGGTTTGATTTTTTTATCGAATTGAATCAATTTAGGTCGAATCAATCGGGTTGGATCAGATATGAGCATCCCTATAACTTTCCAAAGAATTTTGAGTCCTATACTAATTAGCCTTTCTCAAAAAGGAGTTTTCCTTCCATATTTGTGCCTCCAATTAGAATTTCAGTAATAATTAGACTTTCCAATCCAAATCCATCTTGGATTACAGCATCCCTCTCTAGTCTCTATATATATGTATCGGAATCCCATTACTTCCTTCAGTTCTGAGATCTCCTATCTTTCTTGAGCTAGAGAATTTGTGAGAAATTAGTTGGCGTGAAACATGGCTTCGAATCCTCATGAAGATGGTCATGGAAACATGATCAAGAGTTCTGTAAGGACAGGTTCGAGGTGCCAAGCCTCGAACTGCTATAGTAATTCCTTTATGACCGAAGTGAAGGATAAACCCAAAGCTTCTCGCTCAAATAGCTGCATGACAGTAACAATGAGCATGCCCGCACCTGATTCCTTATGATGAGCTACACAGCGGTTATGATAGGCATCCTCCCATCGGAATATCTCTTAATTTCCCGGTCCCGAAATAAACGTTTGGAAATACACATCAGATCCCGAATATCTTGCTTGGCATGCCACGTGGGTTCCTCATTGGATCCCATAAATACCCCCCCCAGGCCACGTAAAAAGGTAATTGAAACCAACCTTAAGCTCTTTTTATCTCCGCCCTAAAGGTAGCCCCGATTATTGCTGACTTAAGCATCAGAGTGTCTACCCCGAGTTCCACCTCGGGGCTTTGCAGGTCATCCCGGAGTGCAGGCGCGGACTGAAGAAGGACTTTTGGTTTGGTGCAATTACATTGGC